TTGACGGTCAGTTTCCGCTGGTCGTTTCATTGTAGCCAGCGCCGGAGGTGAGGTTGCCGTAGCCGTCGGCGGGGGCTGCGTCGGGGTTGTCGGCCTGAAGGGACTGGTACTTTGAGGGGCATTTTACGAGGATGTTGTCGGTTACGAAGACGTGGTTTTGGGCATCGTAACTGCCTTCCAGGATTACCTCCGAGTGGGGATTGAAGAACAGATCGGGCAGGACGCCGACGTAGCTGGCGTGGAGCTCTGGGGAGCCTGACGCCACGCCGGGCGCATTGGGTTCCTTGTTGCCCATGGTGAACTGCGATTGGGTCGAATTGCTTTCCCGCCGGAATGTATCCGGGACCAGGGCGCCGGACACGCGGAGGGTCTGGCCGTTCTGAAGCTGCGTATCGTCCAGAAATTCACTGACGGTTACGAAGAACAGTGCATTTCCAGGGAATGCGGCGAACACCATGTAGATTACGGCCAGCGCAACAACGCCGGCCAGGATCGCGAGCCGCACGCGATGACTACGCCATCCCGATAGCGCTTCGGAGTCGTCATCCTGCAACAGGGCGACGGTATCAGATGTGGGTGGTAGACGATCGTCGGCTTGCATCGTGATTATTGCCTGGTTGGGGCCGGATAATCGGCCTGGCTTTCCCGTTGATGATTTTGGCAGGTTAATTATATGCCTGGGTTAACACAGTGTCATGGAGACTTGGGACCGTTACGAGTTGCCGCTACCGGATGTGTTTCGCGGAGCGCCGCGCAGCTCTTCGCTGAAGTCTACCAGGTCTCGTTGGATGGCCTGCCGCTTCCAGGACACATAAGCTGCGTAGGCGAAGAACACTAACCACACCACTGCGAATGCGGCGAACAGGAAGGGGAGGTTTTGAGGTGCGTCGCCCATATCAGGTGGTGTCTCCCGGCGTATTGATCGGAATGAGATTGCCTGTGGTTACGACGGGATCGTCGAATTGCAGGTCGGAGTTTTGCAGGCGGAGTTCGGACAGCCGGTCTTCCGCCTGGCGCAACGCCATACGCTCCATCACCAGGTAAACGAACAGGGCCAGTATGGCGACGAAGGAAAAGATGAGGATGCGGGCCATGATTGGCTCCAGCGCATCGTCCGCCGACTCCGGGCCGATGACCTGCACCGGATGGATCGATCGCCACCACTGCACGGAGTAGTACACGATGGGCACGTCGACGAAGCCGATGATGCCGACCACGGCGGCCCAGGAGCGGCCCTGCTGCGGCGTTGGCGCGTAGTGTCGAATCATCAGGTACGCCACGTAAATCAGCCACAGGATCAGGGTGGTGGTGAGGCGCGGCTCCCACGTCCACCAGACGCCCCAGACGGGCCGGGCCCAGATGACTCCGGTAACGAGGGCCAGCGTCACGAACACCACGCCAACTTCGGCGGCGGAGTGGGCCAGGCGATCCCAGCGGTCGGTGCGGCGGATCAGGTAGCCGATGCCCGCGACGGCGCAGACGAAGAATCCGATGAAGGAAAGGAGGGATATCGGGACGTGAATGTAAAAGATGCGCTGGATGTGACCCAGCACCAGATCGGTAGGAGCCACCATGAATATCAGGTAACCATCCACCAGCACCAGGACGGCGGTTAGCAACAGCAGCCAGGGCCAAATACTTCGAGCCGCGGCACGTCCCGGCCGGCCGCTATCTCGACGGTTGGCTGTCAATGCCAAAGTTAGTTATCCCTCGAAAACAAAACCAAATATCCACGAACATATTACCAAAAAGAGGGCGTCGAATACCACCAGCAACGGTATCCAGCGGGTCCATATTGCCAGGGTCGGCCCGCCTTGCAACGCCAGCGCGGAGGCTTCCACGGCACCGATGATGACGGGTACCACGACTGGGAAAAACAGCACCGGGAGTAGAATCTCCCGTGAACGGGTTTGGGCGGCGATGGCTGAGAAAAACGTGCCGACGGTAGCGAAACCCAGTGTGGCCAGGAGGATGATTAATCCCAGTACCGGGGACAGAGTCGGCAGGCCCAGCATTACCGCAAAGACCGGCAGCAACACCAACTGAATTACCAGCATAAAGATGAGGCTGCCCAGCGTTTTGCCCAGAAAGACGGCGTCGCGGCTGACGGGCGCAACCAGCAGTCCGTCCAGTCCGCCATGTTCCAGCTCGCGGGCGAACGCCCGGTTCATCGCCAGCACGCCGATGAAAGCGTAGGCCACCCAGAGCAGGCCGGGAGCGACGGGGGCGAGGCTGCCGGGAGCACGGTTCAGGCCGAAGTTGAACACCACCACCACGATGAGCCCGAATACCAGAGCGGAGATGACCACGTCCCGCGACCGCAGTTCGAGGCGCACGTCTTTCCAGGCGATGGCCAGGGTGGCCCGCAGCAAGCGCATGACAGGGTGGGGATCGGCGAGCAGCGACGGGTCAGGCAGCGTGCCGCTGGGCTCGCAGGGCGTCCTTGAGGTCGGCGGCGGTGGTCTGAGCGGCGGCGGCGTCGTAGGCCAGACGGCCACCGGATAACGCCAGCACCCGGTCGGCCCAGGCGAGTCCGGTCTGGTCGCTGTGGGTAGTCATCAGGACCGACTTGCCCGCGGCGGCCCAGTCCCGGAGCAATCGTCCCAGCGTTTCCGTGGACGCCTGGTCCAGGCCGGACTCGGGTTCGTCCATCAGCAGGACGGTTGGTTCGTGGAGGATGGCACGCGCCACCGAGAGGCGTTTTTGCATTCCGTGAGAAAGGGTCCGCACTCTGCGGTTGCGGCGGTCGGAGAGGCCGACCTGCTCCAATACCTGCTGGATGCGAAGGTTGATATTGGCGATGCCGTACAACTGTCCGTAGAAGGCGAGGTTTTCCCGGCAGGTGAGGTCGTTGTACAACAGGGATTCGTGGCCGACGAAACCGATCAGACGGCGGCAGCGTTGCCGCCGCGGTGGACTCGGCGGTTGCCGATGTGGAGTTGGCCGTCATCAGGCCGGGTGAGGCCGGCGAGGATGCGCAAAAGGGTGGTTTTGCCGGCGCCGTTGGCGCCGAACAGGGCGGCAATTTCGCCCCAGCCCACTTGCAAATCCAGATTATGCAGGACGCGGCGGTCGCCGAAATCCTTGCGCACGCCGGTGGCGGAGATAGCTGCCCCCGAATTGGCCGCCATAATCATTGCGCCGAATCCGGCGGTTCAGGCATTGCTGACGTGTCCCTCAAATTGGTCGCGCAGGACTTTTTTATCGAACTTGCCCACGCTGGTTTTGGGAATTTCATCGATGAACACCACGTAGTCGGGCAACCACCAGCGGGCAAATTTGGGCTGGATGAACTCCAGTATGGTGTCGCGGGTGAGTGTGGCGCCAGGTATCAGCGCGGGCTACGACGCAGGCGAGGGGACGTTCCTGCCATTGGGGGTGGGGGACGGCGATGACGGCTGCTTCCAGAACGTCGGGGTGAGCCATGATTGCCGACTCGAGGTCTACCGACGATATCCACTCGCCACCGCTTTTCACCATGTCTTTGACCCGATCGACGATCTGAATGTAACCGTCAGGGTCGATGGAGGCGATGTCGCCGCTGTGGTACCAGCCGTCCACGAAGGTTTCCGAACTGCGCGGGTCGTCAACGTATTGATCGGCAACCCAGGGGCCCCGGAACCAGAGTTCACCGCGCTGGTTGCCGTCCCAGTTCGCCTCGACGCCGTTGTCATCAACCAGCTTCATCTCGATGCCAGGAGCGATTACGCCTTGCAGACCGCACAAGTCGAGGCGTTCGCCGGCGGAAAGCGAATCTAGCCAGCTGCGACGGCGGTTCACCGAGATAAGGGGTGCGGCCTCGGTCATCCCGTAGGCGTGAATCATTTCGATGCCCAACCGGTCTCGGTAGGCCTGAAGGACGACCAGGGGCAGGGCCGAACCGCCGCTGATAATCTGGCGCAGCGATGACAGGTCATACTCCACGCCCGATCGTTGCAGGTAGTCGAGTACGCCAATCCAGATAGTGGGCACGCCAGCACTGAAGGTTACGCCCTCAGATTCGACGAGTTGGCAAATTTCCTGCGGGCCGGGCCGAACACCGGGGAAAATCTGGTCGGCGCCGACGAGGGTGGAGCTGTAGGGCAGGCCCCAGCAGTTAGCGTGAAACATGGGCACGATGGCCATCACCCGGTCGCGCTCCGATAACGACAGCACGTCGACGGTGGCCGAAGCGAGGGAATGCAGGTAGACGGCGCGGTGGGAGTAGGCGACCGCCTTGGGCAACCCGGTGGTTGCCGAGGTGTAGCATAGGCCCATGGTGGCGTATTCGTCGACGGCGGCGGGATTGTATTCCGGTGAAGCGCTGGCCAGCATGGACTCGTAGGAAACGGCACCGGGGAGCGTGGCGGAAACATCCGACGGTTCGCCGAGAATGATGTAGTGCTGCACGGTTTCGAGGCGACTGGCGATGGACTCGATCAGCGGCGCAAGGTCGGGGTCGATGAGCAACACTTTGTCGCCGGCGTGGTTGATGATGTACACCATGTCGTCCGCAGCCAGGCGGATGTTGATGGTGTGAACGACGGCGCCGATGGTGGGCGGGGCGAAGTAGGCTCCAGGTGCCGGTAGGTGTTCCAGCCGAAGGTGCCGACGCGGTCGCCGAATCCGACGCCCAATTCGCGAAGCGCGTTACCCAACCGGGCGGTGCGCTCGAACAGATCGGCGTAGGTGTAGCGATGCGTCCCGTTGTCCACGCGGGTGATGATCTGCTTTTTGGGGAACTGGACGGCCGCGCGTTCGAGGATGCGATGCGCCAGCAATTCGTACTGCATCGTCATGGTTGAACTCCCTGGACGGGTGATTGGCCGGGATGTGGGTGTTGCTGGGATGCGGTTGTTGCGTTGATGCGTCAGGTGTACGGTGCGTCGGTTACGGGTGTTTGATGCTAACGCCGCCGTCGATGGCCCAAGTCTGGCCGGTTACGTAGGTTGCGGCGGGAGAGGCCAGGTAAACGGCCAGGTATCCCACCTCGATGAGGCGACCCACCCGGGCCAATGGGACGGTGTCGCCGGCGGCGACGTCGCGCGCTGCGAAGGTTTCGGCTGTCATCTGCGCCGGGTCGGGGAAGGTGCCGGGCGCGATGGCGTTGCAGCGGACGCCGTAGGGCGCCCATTCCTGCGCGACGCACTCCGTGAACCGCATCACGCCGGCCTTGGACGCATCGTAGGCGGCGGACAGGGGGCGGCCGCGGAAGGATGCCCAGCCGCTGATGTTGATGACGGAGCCGGCCCGGCGTTCCAGCAGGTGCGGGCCCACTGCGCGACAACCCTGGAATGCCTCGGTGAGGTTGATGTCAACGATGCTGTGCCACTCCGCTTCGGTCATTCCGGGCAGGTCGTTGTCTGGCAACTTGACGACCGGCTTGCGAATGGCGTCGCCGACGCAGTTGATGAGAGTGTCAATCCGCCCGAATTCGGCGATGGTTTTGGCGGCAATTTCATCCATGGGTTCGGCTTTGGTGGCATCGCCGGTTAAAGGCAGGCAGGTGCCGCCCATGGCGCGGATTTCTTCCGCCACCTGATTGACTCCGGTGGAGGTGAGACCGGTTACGGCGACGTCGGCTCCGGCTTGCGCGAAGGCCAGCGCGATGCCTTTGCCGATACCCCGGCCAGCGCCGACCAGCAGTACTTTTTGGCCGGAAACGTCAAAAATATCGAGGCTCATCTGGGGACTCCTTGGTGGGTTGCTGGTTAGTCCGGGTAATGTTGCCATACTGCAGACGGCACGGCAACTACAGGAGGCAACGACGCAGGTGTTGACGGTGGTGGTTTCGGCTGGCGACGGCTGGTTTGTCGTTAGACGATGCCACGGTGTTGTATTGGGCGTTGATGCGGTAAAATCAGGAGGGATTCCGCCAACAGACAATGCGAGGTGGGCAATATGCCTAAAGAAAGCAACCGCGTGATATTTCCGACAGAAGGTTGGACCAACAGCCTGGAGGTGGAACACGTGGGCGCCGACCAGTTTGGCAACGGCCTGGTTTATGATACGCGGTTGAATGGCTCGCCGCTGGTGCGCCTCATTTACGACGCGCGGGACATGGAGATTACGGTGCGATGCCTGCGCTGCGAACAGCAATCGCAAGCGTTCGGCAGGTTCCAGGCCCACCCGATGATTGGCATCGTCAGCATTAATGCCACCGCATTGCTGGTGCCAATGAACACGCCCAGAATCATGCGGCACTTGGCGCAGATTCATGATGAAACCCTGGACGACATTGACGATGTGGACTTTTACAATTGTTTGCTGGATAGCTGCGAGCTGTGAAGGCCGGCGGGGAGAACCCGTCCGCACAGGCTAGCGCCAATCGAGCGGGCAGTTTCGAAGCGGGCGTTCTTAAGGAGATGAGAGGGTGAATTACGATTACATCATCGTTGGCGGCGGTTCCGCCGGATGCACGCTGGCGTCCCGGCTGACCGAGGATGCCGACGTTTCCGTGCTACTGCTGGAAGCCGGCCCGGATTATCCGGATTTCGAGCAACTCCCCATTGATCTCAAAAACGGCAACAACGTGTGGCGCTCCGCTTACGGCCCGCACAGCTGGGGATACACAGCGAAGGAACGCCCCAGCAGGAGGAGCCGATCATCATTCCAAGGGGCAAGGCGATGGGCGGTTCCAGCAGCATCAACGGGCAGGTATTGTTCAGGGGAGTGCCGGAGGACTACGACAACTGGGCGATTTGGGGCAACGACGAGTGGTCGTTTACCAAGGTGTTGCCCTACTTCCGCCGGCTGGAAAACGACCTGGATTTTGGAGGGGACGATTTTCACGGCAACAGCGGCCCCATACCGGTGCGGCGTTACAAGCGAGAGGAATGGCTGCCGGTGGCAGAGGCGTTTTACGATTCGTGCCGAGAGTTGGGATTTCCGGAAGACCCGGACCAGAATCACCCGGATTCCAACGGCGTGGCAGCGCGTCCGCTGAATAACATCGACGGAGTGCGGATGAGCACATCGCTAACCTACCTATCGATGTCGCGTCACCGCCTTAATCTGACGGTGCGAGGTAGCGTGGTGGTGCGGCGCATTCTGTTTGAGGGCAAGAAAGCGATCGGTGTGGAAGCGGAAAGCAACGGAGAAAGTTTCACGATATTCGGTGACCAGATTATCCTCAGCGGCGGTGCGATAGCATCTCCGCAAATCCTGATGCTTTCCGGAGTGGGCCCGGCCGACCATTTGCGGGAGATGGGGATACCGTTGGTTCACGAATCTCCGGGCGTCGGCGAAAACCTGCGAGACCATCCGGCGGTGTTCAGCCTGTTTCGGGGCGTTGGCGATCCGCCTGATCTCGAAGCGCCAAGCATCCAGGTGGGACTGCGTTTCAGTCCGCCGGGGACGGGCACAAGGGGCGATATTCAGCTGGCGCCCATTCTGATGACCAGCGAGCACCGGCCGGCCAGCGTTCAGATTGATTCGGACGATTTCCACTTTGGGTTTAGCGCGGCGCTGCAAAACGCCACGACCGCCGGCCGCTTGCGCCTGGCATCCGACGACCCGCACGTGCAGCCCGAATTATTCTACGACTACCTGTCTGACCCGGTTGACCGGCAGCGGTTGCGGGCGGCGGTGCGGCTTGGTCTGGAAATCGCAGAGCAGCCCGGGTTCCGGGAGTTTGTGGCCGAGCGGTTGTCCCCCACCGACCAAGATTTGGCTTCGGAAGCGGCGCTGGATCAGTGGCTGCTACGCAACGCGTACACGCAACACCACTCGTCGGGCACCTGCAAAATGGGCCCTGGTTCAGACCTGGATGCGGTGGTTGACCAGTATTGCCGGGTCTACGGCATGGAAAACCTGCGGGTTGTGGATGCTTCGGTGATGCCGGATGTGATTCGCGCTAATACCAACGCTACGACCATTATGATTGCCGAGCGGGTGGCTGAATTCATCAGGGAAGGCAAGTAACGGCGGGAGAGCAGCGGAAAAGGCGGAGGGCACGTTTTTTAGGGGACAACCCGGTGATAAAATTGAAACGCAATGCGCTCCGGTAATCCCGGCTCCACGAATAGCCGAGGCCTCACGACCATCCACGGTCGTGGAATCTGAAACAAAGAAGGACAGCGAAAAAATGACCACCAACAGCACGCGAATCGAACGTGATTCCATGGGCGAAATGCAGGTTCCGGCTGATGCGCTCTACGGCGCATCAACGATGCGAGCCGTGCTCAATTTCCCCATCAGCGACCTGCGATTCCCCCGGCAATTCATCAGGGCGCTGGGTCTGATCAAGATGGCGGCGGCGCAGACGTACATGGACATGGGCATCATGGACAGGGCGATTGGCGATGCCATTGTGGCGGCGGCGCAGGAAGTGATCGACGGCAAACACGACGACCATTTCGTGCTGGATATTTTTCAGACCGGGTCCGGCACTTCCACCAATACCAACGCGAATGAGGTGATAGCGAACCGAGCTTCGCAGATCATGGGAGGCGACCTGGGGTCGCGTTTGGTGCATCCCAACGACAATGTGAATCTGGGGCAGTCATCCAACGACGTCGTACCGACGGCTATTCATCTGGCGGCGCTTTTGGGTTTCAAGGAAGATCTGTTGCCGGCTCTGGAACGGTTGCGGGTGGCGTTGCAAGCCAAATCCGACGAGTTCTGGCCGATCGTGAAAACCGGACGGACCCACCTGCAGGATGCGACTCCGGTGCGACTGGGTCAGGAATTCAGCGGGTACGCCGGCCAGGCCAGCTATAGCATCACCCGAGTGAAGCGTGCCCAGGATGCGCTGGCGGAGGTGGCTCTAGGTGGGACCGCGGTTGGAACCGGCGTCAATACGCACCCGGAGTTCTCGGCCCGTACCTGCGCCCGTCTGAGTGAGATGACTGGTGTGGACATCAGGGAAACCGGCAACCACTTCCAGGCGCAGGCTTCGCTGGACGGCATTGTGGAAGCCAGCGGTCAACTGAAGACGGTGGCCATAAGCCTGCATAAAATCGCCAACGACATTCGGTTTCTGGGCTGCGGGCCCAGGGCCGGCCTGGGCGAGATAAACCTGCCCGAAGTTCAACCGGGCAGCAGCATCATGCCGGGCAAGGTGAACCCGGTGATTGCCGAGTCGGTGATACAGGTGGCGGCCCATGTGGTGGGGAACGATGCCACCGTTGCCCTGGCGGGGGCGGGCGGCTACTTTGAGTTGAACACGATGATGCCGGTGGCGGCGTACAACCTGCTGCAATCAGTGGCGTTGCTGGCGGCGTCGGCGCGCAACTTCGCCGACCAGTGCGTGGCGGGCATCACAGCAACCGACACTGGCCCGACAATGGTTGAGAGGGGCTTGATGCTGGGCACGGCGCTGGCTCCGTCAATCGGGTACGACGCGGCGGCTGGGATTGCCAAGAAAGCGGCGGAAACCGGCCAGACTATTCGCGATGTGGCTCGGCTCGACACTTCCCTGACCGAGGCAGAGCTGGACGCATTGCTGAATCCGGAAGAGATGACCAAACCCAGCCTGGTAGTACGGGGCGGAGGCGGTTAGGCTCGGCGGTGGAATCCCGGCTCGCAAAGCGGGGGATGGCAGATACCAGGTGCTTTCGGTGGTCGGCACTCATCTGGGTGATGAGGCGCGGACGAGGTTGAGGTTGCATGGGCCGGCGGCCCTTCGAAGGGCTCAGGGTGAGGGGAAACTCGCTTTTGGGCGGATACATTGATAAGCGTCGGCGGAGCAACCGTTGCCTCACGCGTGCCCGCTTTAATCTGTCATTGCGAGGGGTGCCCGCTCATCCCGAGCTCGTCGAGGGACGTGGCAATCTCGATAAGGCTGAACACACGTCGACGAACCGCGGTTGCTACGGCGACGGGATTGCCACGCTGCGCTCGCAATGAAAAGCGGGTACGCGTGAGGCCAACGGCGAAGTTGACAAAAGTACTTGGGGCGGGTATGATAGAAACACTATCAATGTTATTTTCGCAGCTAATTGCTATTGACCAGAATTATCGTCTGCACCCTCGTCTCTGATTAACTCACTTTCTCGGCTTGCTGTTCTCGGCTGGCCGGGTTTTCGTGTCTTTGTGTAGCGAGCGGAGGGGCGGGCTTTCGTGTTGTTTACACCCCAACCCTGAACCGTGTTAGGAGTGTTGTATTTATGGTATTGACCCGAAAACGCCAGGGCCGCAATGACCGCGGCTTAACCGCCCGCGATGTGAAGACTTATTCAGAGTCGAGCATTGCCAATGTCCTCGAAGTTCCCAATCTGATCCGCAGCCAACTGGAATCTTTTGACTGGTTCAAGACCAAAGGGCTTGCCGAGACGTTTAAAGACTGCTCGCCCATCGTGGCGGGTATCACCCGACGGTTTGCGAATGGCGAAGCGTCGCGTCGCGCCGAGCGGTTCGAGCTGTACTTTCTGGATCATTGGTTTGACCCGCCCCAGTTTAGTCCTGAAGAGTGCCGCGAACGGGAAATCACTTATTCGCAACCGCTATATGTGCAGGCGCAGTTGCGGGACCAGGAAACCGGTGAGGTAACACAATCTGACATTTTCTTCGGCGATGTCCCGATGATGACCGATACCGGCACTTTCATCATCAATGGAGCCGAGCGGGTGCTGGTGAGTCAGCTCCAGCGTGCGCCCAGCGTTTATTACGAGCGCGAACCTTCGCAAGACCCGCCGTGTCCGGAATGCGGGAAGATCGAGAATTGGTACTACAAGGGACGTATCTCGGCCAGCCGGGGCGCTCGCATCGAGCTGTCCACCTGGACCCACTACTACGCCCGCCGGCGCAACCAGCCGGAGGCGATCAGCGTTAGCGTAGACCGCAAGCGCCGCATGAGCGTGTCAAACTTCCTGCACGCGCTGGGAGTGGTGAGCGCTGAAGAGATGCGGGCACTGTTTGCCGACCTGGACCCGGGTGAATGCCGGCCGTTTGTCGCCGGGATCCAGCCGGCTGAGGACCGGGATTACAACCCCAAGGAAGAGGAACTGCGGTCCTTGTGGGATCGGATTCACCCAGACCGCGAGTTTGTGCAGGAACAGTCGTATCGCATCGGCCTGGCGCAGCGCAACCTCTACAAGTGGCTGCGGCCCGGTGAACCGGCCGTCCAGGTGGATGGCGCTTGCACGTTCATAATGAACCACTTCTTCGATGGACGGCGGTTCGACCTGGGTGAGGTTGGTCGCATCAAGGTTGACCAGCGGCTGGGTCGTTCCGAGTCGCAGATTCTGACCGATGCCCAGAAACTGGTGTTGGAATTCGTGCGGGAGCAGCACGCAAAGTCCGGCGACGGAACCACGGCCACCGAGATTTTTGCGGCGTCCGGCCACGAGCACCGCATCCTGTCGGACCGGGATCTGGACGCACTCATCAACTTTGGGTACCTGACCCGGCGGGCGGATCGCCGCATCGAACCGGTCGAGCTGTTTGCTGCCGGTGATGACGAGCGGACGGTCAATCTGTGGTCTTTGGACGCTGCCAACTCGGCGACGCTGTTGTCGCAAGCCGAGGGATCGTCCGAGGAATCTCTGGCGGTCAAGGTGCAGGTTCAGGTCACCGACACGTTGGGTGATCCGGTTGCCATCTCCGTTATCCCGCTGCTGGCGGGCGTTGTTTCTGATGATGCCATAACCTGCGGCGAAATCACGATTATGAAAAACCGGTTCCGTGCTGAGCACAGCATCGTTGAGGCCGGCCAACTTATCTACGCTGAACGGGCGACGCAAGGGCCGTTGCAGTCGTGGGAATTGACCCCGATCCGCGCCCGCGCCTCTCGCATTGTGGGTGTCGTTACCGAGGTGAATACCGGACCCAACGGTAATATGCACCGGGTGAGGTTCAACTTGCCTGGTATCGAGTTGCCGGAGCGCCGGGTGTTGGATTTGAACGACATCATCGACACGTTGCGGGAACTCATCAAGCATCACACCGAAAACCTGGAGCCTCGCGACAACATTGACCACCTGGGGAACCGCCGCGTGCGCGTGGCCGGTGAACTCATGCGCGACCAGGTTCGTATTGGCCTGCTGCGAATGCACCGGATGTTCCAGGACCGGGTGGGACGGCTGGAAAAGCCGGAAGACGCGGTGCCAGCCAAGTTGGTCAACGTGCGTCCCGTTACGGGCGCCATTCGCGAGTTTTTCGGCGGGGACAAGCTGTCCCAGTTTATGGACCAAACCAACCCGTTGGCCGAACTGACGCACAAGCGCCGACTGTCGGCGTTGGGTCGGGGCGGCCTGACCCGGGAGCGGGCGGGTTTCGACGTGCGCGACGTTCACGCATCGCACTACGGGCGCATCTGCCCCATTGAGACACCGGAAGGCGCAAACATTGGATTGTTGAGCAGTCTGGCGGCCTATGCACGCATTGACCGGGCTGGGCTTCATTGAAACCCCCTACTGGCCGGTCATCAAGCAGCTGTGGCTGGCGATTGCCGAGAACCCGGGTTCCCCGGGTATTTCGACCTGCTGGGGCACGAAGTGTCGGTCGACGTAAAGACTCGCAAAGGCGAGGTGATTGTGGCGGCCGGGGAGATCTTGTCCGAGCAGCACATCCGTCGCCTGCGCCGCCTGTCCGGCGACACGGTGATTGACGTAATTCCGTTCGTGGATACCCGGCCCGATAGCATTCAATATCTTACTGCCGACCTGGAAGAGCAGTTCCGGATTGCTCAGGCCAACTCCGAATTCGATGGGTTGAATCAGTTTACCCAGGAACAGGTGGAAGTACGGGAAGGAGACAATTACCGGCTGGCTTCGCCGACCACCGTGGAATATGCCGACGTTTCGCCGTTGCAGATTATGAGCGTTTCAGCGGCGCTGATTCCTTTCCTGGAGCACGACGACGCCAACCGGGCCCTGATGGGGTGCAACATGCAGCGCCAGGCGGTGCCGTTGCTGCAACCGCAGGCTCCGATCGTGGGCACCGGCATTGAACGCCGGGTGGCACGGGATAGCGGGCAGGTGTTGCTGTCGAGAGTGGAAGGGTCGGTGGTATCGGTAAACGGGCACGAGGTGCTGGTTTCCGACGCTGCCGGGGTGGACCATTCCCACCGATTGATCAAGTTTGCGCGGACGAATCAGGGCACTTGCCTCAACCAGCGTCCGGTGGTGCAGAAGGGCGACCGGGTGCTAGTTGGCGATACGCTGGCCGACAGCTCGTCGACCGATGGCGGCGAACTGGCCCTGGGTCAGAACGTGCTGGTTGCGTTCATGTCATGGGAGGGCTACAACTACGAGGACGCCATCATCATCAGCGAACGGCTGGTGAAGGACGACCAGTTCACCTCAGTGCACATTGAGAAGTACGAAGTGGAAAGCCGCTCCACCAAACTGGGCGACGAAGAAATCACCCGGGATATCCCGAACGTGGGGGAGGGCAACCTGCGCGACCTGGACGAGCGCGGCGTCATCCGCATTGGCGCGGATGTCGGGCCGGGCGACATCCTGGTTGGAAAGGTTACCCCCAAGGGTGAAACTGAAATGACTGCCGAAGAGCGTCTGTTGCGGGCTATCTTCGGTGAGAAGTCCAAGGATGTCCGCGACACATCGTTGCGGGTTCCGCACGGTCAACGGGGCAAGGTCATAGCGGTCAAAGCCTTGAGCCGAGCAGCCAAGGACGATTTGCCTCCGGACGTGAATGAAGCGATTCGCGTTTGGGTGGCCCAAACGCGCAAGATCTCAGTGGGCGACAAAATGGCGGGACGCCACGGGAATAAGGGCGTGGTTTCACGCATTCTGCCCGAAGAAGATATGCCGTTCCTGTCGGACGGAACTCCGGTGGACATCATTCTGAATCCCATCGGCGTGCCTTCGCGGATGAACCTGGGGCAGGTTTTGGAAAGCCACCTGGGTTGGGCCGCGCGCAGCCTGAATTTCCAGGCGCTGACGCCGGTGTTCGAAGGCGCAGACGACGACAACATTGAGGACTCCCTGGCCCGCTGGTGGTTCGCCCAACAGGCTGGAGCCACCGACGCCGAACCGGAAAGCAATGTAGACCTCGACCGGGTTTATGCCTGGTTGCGCGACCAGGGCTATGATCCGGAATTGTTGTATGACGAAAACCAGAGGGGGCAAAAGCCCGTAAGGCCTGCCTGTACCTGTGGCTGCGTGATGTCGCCGGCGAGCAACCGGACGGGATGTCCCTACCGGAAATGCACAAAATGGCGCTGGACGTGCATCGGGAGCGGTTGATCGCCCCGCCGACCTTTGCCAAATTCCAGCTCCACGACGGGCGTTCCGGTGAAACGTTCGACCAGCCGGTGGCGGTGGGCAGCATCTACATGCTGAAACTCATCCACCTGGTGGAAGACAAGATCCACGCTCGTTCCACGGGCCCGTACTCGATGATTACGCAGCAACCGCTGGGCGGCAAAGCTCAGTTCGGCGGCCAGCGATTCGGCGAGATGGAGGTTTGGGCGCTGGAGGCGTACTCCGCGGCCCATAACCTTCAGGAAGTTCTTACCATCAAATCCGACGACGTTACCGGTCGGGTCAACACTTACGAATCCATTGTGAAGGGCCATGCTATCAGCCAACCCGGTGTCCCTGAATCATTCAACGTGCTGTTGAAGGAGTTGCAGAGCCTGGGCCTAAACGTTCAACTCGAAGAGGAAGGTGAACAGGAAGAGCCAAGCCTGGGGTTGCCAGGCGACGATGACGACCTCTTCTCCATGGAGGTGAACTAGATTATGGTCAGAATGCTGGATAACCGCGAAGCCACTTCTCAAGATTTCAACGCAATCCGCATTTCGATTGCCTCGCCCGATCAGATTCGAGCGTGGTCATCGGGAGAGGTGATGAAGGGCGAAACCATCAACTACGCACGCAGCGCCCGGAAAAAGACGGCCTGTTTTGTGAAAAGATTTTCGGCCCGACGAAGGACTGGGAATGCCAGTGCGGTAAGTACAAGCGGCAAAAGTACAAGGGAGTCGTTTGTGACCGCTGCGGGGTTGAGGTCACGCGTTCCAACGTGCGGCGTCAGCGGCTGGGCCATATCGCGCTGGCCGCTCCGGTGGCCAACATCTGGTTCGTGAAGAATACGCCCAGCGTGATGAGCCTGGCACTGGATGTGAAGCTCTCGGACCTGAACCGCATTCTTTATTATTCGGCCTACGTCATCAACGAAGTTGACATCGACCTGATGCGCGAGCGGTTGAGTGAGCACGAAGCCGAGGTTGAGCTGCTTCGTACCGAACCGATTGCCGTTGCTGAAGCGGCTCTGCAACGCCTGGCCAACCGCATCGGCGCCTGGGATCTGGAGAGTCGCCGCGCGGAGGCTGCCGCAGCGATTGGCGACCATCCCGACGCGCTGAAACGAGCCGTTGATGCGGCACGCGTGGCGTTGGGTCGGCTGGTCAGCGGGAGCACAGCAAATGGCGCGGACGACGTGTTGGCGCTGGAGTCGCTGGTGTCCGCTGCCACTGCGTCGGCGGCCGGGATCGGCAATGTCGGGAGCTTGCTGCTCGACCCCAAGCTGCTGGAATCGCACGAGGCGCTGGTGATTGCCGCCGCCGACGGCGACCAGGTTGCCAGCGCAGTTGCCCGGTTGTACCGCGGCAATACCAGCATCGAAACTGATGTGCAGGGCTTGAACGATAGCGTGAAGGCAGTTAACACCGCGTTTGCTGCGTATCGCGACTCCTACACCGAAGAGGCGCAGGACAATCTGGCTGACGCAACCGATCGACTGGAAGCCGACATTACGGCAGTAGTCGATGAAGTTCTTTTGCTCACGCTGAAAGATTTGCGTTCCATCGTCGCGGAGAACGCCGCTGATGATTTTGCCGCATCGTCGCAGCAGCCCATGTCCGACGATTTGGCCGAAATTCGCGAGTCAATGATTAGCGTGGAGCAGGCTGTTCGCACGTGGAACTTCCGCCGGGGTGAGGACAATCCGGAGGGTCGTGGCTGGAATTTGCCAGCGTTCAATGCCCTGCTGGAACGGTTGCAACCCAATAGCGATGAATCGAAGGTGATTGCCGATCTGGAAGCACGCGTAGAACGTCTCGAGAGCGGCGGGGCACGCGCTGCCCAGCAGAAGGAAATGGACTCCTGGCGCAAGCAGCTGCCGGCGGTGCAGAACCTGATTGGCACAGTGGATGATTATTTGGCGCGTGCCATTGCCGAGCGCCGTAAGGAGGCCGTTGACATCATCCAGTCGATGCGTTGGTTGCGCTGGGATCCCTCGCAGCGACCGCGACCGGCTGACCTGGATTGGCTGTGGCCTGACCTGAAGTTGCCGGCGTCGGCGCGGGAAGACGATGAGCTGCCCGACGAGTTTTATATTGCGCGAAGCGGGGCGTTGGGTTTGCATCTGACGACGCTTTCCACGGGTCGTTTCGATCGGTTGAAGCCCTTCTGGGGCGATGCCTTCGACGCCGAGATGGGTGCGGAACCGGTGCTGGAGTTCCTGAGGCTGCTGGATCGGGATCTGAACCAGGAGCGGTATTACACCGAACTGGAAATGCGGGCGACCTCTTCGCAAATTCGCACCAAGGCCGGCAAGCGAATGCGCCTGCTGGAGACGTTCCGCCGCAGCGAAAACCGGATGCAGGACATGATCATGACCGTGCTGCCGGTTCTGCCGCCGGAATTGCGTCCGATGGTGCAGCTCGACGGCGGGCGGTTCGCGACCAGCGACCTGAATGACCTGTACCGTCGAGTGCTGTCACGCAATCATCGGTTGAAGCGTTTCGCCAGTATGCGTGCTCCGGGTCTGATGATCCGGAACGAAAAGCGGATGCTGCAAGAGGCTGTGGATTCGCTGATTGACAATGGGCGGCAGGGTAAGGCCGTGAAGGGCAAGCGTGATCACGCCCTAAAATCGCTGAGCGATCTGTTGAAAGGCAAGCACGGGCGGTTCCGGCAGAACCTGCTGGGCAAGCGCGTTGATTACTCTGGCCGTTCTGTCATCGTGGTTGGACCAGAGTTGAAGATGGACCAGTGCGGCCTACCCAAACGCATGGCGCTGGAGCTGTTCAAGCCGTTCGTGATGCACCGTTTGGTGCTGAGCGGCCTGGCCCCGAACATCAAGGCGGCAAAGCGCATGGTCGAACGCGCTTCTCCGGACGTATGGCACATCCTAGAAGACGTAATCAAGAATCGGCCGGTGTTGCTGAACCGGGCGCCCACGTTGCACCGATTGGGGATCCAGGCGTTCAAACCGGTATTGATTGAGGGCAGCGCGATTCAACTGCACCCGCTGGTGTGTTCTGCTTTCAACGCCGACTTCGACGGCGACCAGATGGCGGTGCACGTTCCACTGTCCGCGCTGGCGGTGAACGAATCCGGCACGGTGATGTTGAGCATCAACAATATGCTGTCGCCGGCATCGGGCGACCCGCTGGTTGCGCCGACGCTGGACATGGTGATGGGGTGTTATTACCTGACGGAGATGCTGGAGTCCGGCCAAGGCGCCGGCGCGGTGTTCTATGACATTCACGAAGCCAGAATCGCTTACTCGGAAGGTGTTATCGGGCTGCGCTCGCCGATCACCGTGCTGTCCGTGGCGGGTCACGAAGGCAAGATTGAAACGACCATGGGCCGGCTGATTTTTAACGAAGTTTTGCCCGACAAGCTGGGCTACAAAAACCGGTTGATGGACCGTGGTGCGATCAAGGAACTCACCACCGAGTTGCACCGGAACCTCCCAACGAAGAGACGGCGCGAGCGCTGGACAACATCAAGGACATGGGGTTTTTCTACGCGACGAAGTCCGGTATCACCATTGCCATCAACGACATTCAGGTGCCAGAGCGCAAGCACGGTATCTTGGAAGAGGCCACCCGAAAGGTTGCCGACCATGAAGACAACTTCATGATGGGCATGATGACTGAGGAAGAAAAGTACGACCGCGTCATCGAGACCTGGACCCAAGCATCGGATGATATGCAATCCATCGTTGAAGACGAGCTCTACAACTTTGGCGGCATTGCCGTGATGGCGATGTCAGGCGCCAAGGGAAACATCTCGCAGATCAAGCAGATGGCGGGCATGCGTGGGCTGATGAGCGACCCGGAAGGCCGGATCATCGAGCGGCCCGTGAAATCGAGCTTCCGGGAAGGGCTAACGGCGCTGGAGTACTTCATTTCCACCCACGGAGCGCGCAAAGGGCTGACCGACACCGCCCTCCGGACCGCCGACAGCGGTTATCTGACCCGGCGTCTGGTTGACGTGTCGCAGGAAGTGATCGTGCAAGAACACGATTGCGAATTTGCCGAAACGTTCTACGTGGAACCGCGGCCTGATGATGTGTCGCTGAGCAGTTTCCCGGACCGCATCCTGGGACGGATGGCCGGCGACGTTATCGCGGACCCGCGCAGTGGCGAGATCATCATTGATCGCAATGAGATGATTGAAGAAGACATCGCGCAGGCGATCAAGGCTGCCGGCATTGATCGGGTACCGGTGCGCTCACCGCTGACCTGCCAAACCCGTCGCGGAATTTGCCAAATGTGCTATGGCCGGCTGCCGGCCACCGGCAAGTTGGTGGAGATCGGTCAGGCGGTAGGTGTCATTGCTGCCCAGAGTATCGGTGAGCCGGGCACGCAGCTGACCATGCGTACTTTCCACACGGGCGGTATCGCGGGGTCGGACATCACGACCGGTTTGCCGCGTGTGCAGGAACTGTTTGAAGTGCGCCCTCCCAAGGGAGCCGGCGTGTTGACTCACATCGACGGCGTCGTGTCCATCGAGGAAGACGTTAACGGTGCGAGGCGCATCCGGGTTACTTACGACGAGGAGGAACGCCACGAATACCCCTTGCCCGACGGCGCGATTCGCCTGGTGGAGCCCGGTGAACCGGTAGCCGAGGGTAACCTGTTGGCCGTGGTGATGAACAGCAGCGCGCCAGCTGTGCCCACCGATGGCGATGGCGACGCGACCGACGCGGGCAACGCATTGGCCGGCGCCAATATTTTGCAGGAAATCCGCTCGGACCACCCGGGTGAGGTTGAAATTTCTGCGGACGGCGTCACCGTGGTGTGGCGCGAGGAAGAATCGCGTGCATACGAAGTGAACTCGCAGATGGCGCTGAAGGTTACAGAGGGTCAGCAGGTCAGGGCCGGTGAGGCCCTGGTTGACGGGCCGCTGGACCTGCGGGAGTTGCTGGATGTCAGGGGCCTGGAGGGGCTGCAACACTATCTGGTGGACGAAGTTCAGGAAGTTTATCGTTCCCAGGGCGTGGGTATCCACGACAAGCACATTGAAGTCATCCTGCGGCAAATGTTGCGGCGGGTGCAGGTGGAATCCTCCGGGGACACTGAGTTCATACCCGGGGACGTGGTCGATAAATTCCGCTTCCAGGACCAGAACGCGCGGGTTCTGGCCGAGGGCGGCGAGCCGGCCACCGCCATGACCATGCTGCTGGGCGTCTCCAAGGCAGCGTTGACGACGGACAGTTTCCTGTCCAAGGCATCCTTCCAGGAGACCACCAAGGTGCTAACGATGGCCGCCGTGGCCAGCGACCGCGACTGGCTGCGGGGTTTGAAGGAGAACGTTATCATCGGACGGTTGATTCCGGCCCGCCTGGAATCGTTGCTGGAATCGGAAAACCAGCTGATTTTGCAAGAAGAGATGCAACGGTTGGAGAACGAATTGATGGCTCCGTCATGGCTTTCCGGCGAACTCGATGGTCCGGAAGGCATACCTCCTGGCGAGGACGGCGCGGAAACGGCTGCGCCCGTCGCCGAGATTGATGACGAGATTATTTCCGGACAGCCGATCGTTCCGCTCGATGCAGGGGCAGGGTTGGGCGAGGCCGGGTTCCAGGTTCGTTCTGCCGAGGAAGAGGACGAACTCGTCCGACGCGCGCAGTCGCTCACGGAAAGCGACTCGAACAGCGAACAGGAAGTAGAGGCTGCAGCATCGCGAGTCTTCTCGCCGTTTGAAGAAGAGGAGGACGACGTTCCGACGCTTTAAATCGTCGCCGTTTGCCTGACTCCAAAATACGCAAACCAGGAGGCCGTCAGTGGCTGTTCCAGCTGAACTTTCGACAGATTTGGCACCGGGACGTTCTGGCGGCCTTCTGCTATGTAATCCTGTGATGATTGCGTCGGGAACCTTCGGATACGACGGTTATGGCCGGGGGATCGCGCCTGACACCCCGTTGGGCAAACTGGGTGCGGTGTTGCCCAAGACATTTACCCGCCACGCCAGGTCCGGCAACCCGGAACCACGCTGGTTCCCCGAATCGTTTCGGGAAGGACTGGCCGCCGGGGAAACCACGTTGCTGAATTCCATCGGGTTGACCAACCCGGGGATCGAAGCCGCTATGTCAGACCTGGCGCCACAGTGGGCCGAAATGGACGCCAATATTGTGATGAGCATGGCCGCCGAAAGCCCGGAGCAATGGGAAGAAATGGCGTCGTTCACCCGTGGGGTCAGCGGGTTTGCCGCCATAGAGTTGAATCTCAGTTGCCCCAACGTGGACGACGGCGCGATGTTCAGCCACTACCCGCATCTCACCGAGGCGGCGGTGGCGGGAGTACGGCGTCAGACCGACCTGCCGGTGTGGGCCAAGTTGTCCCCCAACGTGCCTGACATAACGGAGATTGCCCATGCCGCAGTTGGGGCCGGAGCAGATGCGCTGACCATCAGTAACACCATTCCCGCGATGCACATCGACATTGATGCTGGCCGGCCCACGTTGGGTACCGGCGGCGGCGGCCTCTCCGGTCCGGCATTGCGTCCGGTCGCGATGGCCCTCGTGCACCGCGCGGCTGGTTCCGTCAATGTGCCAATAATAGGCGTCGGTGGCGTGATGACGGGCCGCCATGCCGTGGAATTCCTGATGGCTGGCGCTTCCGCGGTGCAGGTGGGCAGCGCCAACCTGGCCGACCTGAACGCCCCGTTCCGCATCCTGGCGGAACTGGAAGCGCTGCTTGCCGAGTGGGGGGTCGACAGCCTGGCCGAGATTATCGGCAAGGGCTGCTAGGGATTTCGCTCCATCAGGGCTACCAGGCGGATTCCAGCAAAGAGGCCAGTTCGGCGGCGCTCTGCACCGGGCGCACGTTGCGATGCAGACCGAAGTCAGTGAGGGCGTCTTCCGCAATGGCGGTGATGCCTCCGGCGGGGACTCCGACATCGCGGAGACGGGTCGGCATGCCGACTTGCCGGAAGAAATTGGACACTGACTCAGCGGCCGCGTCGGCGGCTGTGCCGTCTGTCATGCTGGTATTGCGGGCCCCGAAGGCGTCTGCGAAGCGCGCCTGACCGCCAAGGTTGTGGTCTCGATTGAAACGCATCCCGGGCGCGGTTGTGATCGAGTAGGCGCCGCCGTGGCTACATTCGGCGTAGCGAGTGTCCAGGCTGTGGGCCAGGGCGCTGACGACGCCCAGCGCGGAACCGTTGGCGCCAGTATCCCAGGCGCGGTTGTAGATGAAAGCCGCGACGCACAAATTGACCCGGGCCGAGCCATTTTCCGGGTTTGCTGGCACCTGGGGCAGGTTATCTCGCAGCAGATTCAGGGCACCGATCAAATCGGCGGCGGCCATTGGGTTCAACCGAGGGGCCTGCAGTGCGCTGGCGACACCGCTGAACAGGGAGCCGGCTGCACTGACGCACAGTTCGGCCGGGGCCGTGAGCAGCGCGGCAGTGTCCCAAATTATGGCAGACGGTCGGGTTTTGGGGTCAAACATTTCGAGGCGGTGTCCCGTTTCGCCGTCGATTACGGCGGTGCCGGCGCGGGTGGCCGCGGTGGTTGGGGTGGTGAGCACCAGAATGTTAGGCAGTTTGGGAGCCATCAAGCGCGGGCTAACCGGAGGCTGGCCGGGCGGGTATTTGGTGGAGTGGTCGTTGGGCCTGCCCCCCTCGGCCAACATGATGATGATGGCCCGCGCGGTGACCACCGCACTGCCGCCGCCCACTGCAATGATAACGTCGGCATTAGCCTCCTGGGCCACCTGCACTCCGAGCAGAACTGAGGGCACCGGTGAGCCGGTTTGCACGCCGTCGAACACGCCGACTGGAGCGACGCCTAACGCATCGGTGATGCGCTCCAGCAAATCGGTCCTGGTCGCGATTGACTGGCCGCACACGATAAAGGGTCGTTTCGCACCCACTCGGGCGACTTCCTGCTTCAGGTTGGTCAATGCGTCATCGCCGGCGTGTACGCGCACTGGATATGAGACGTGGCGGAATTGGTTGACGGCGGGCATGGCTGTATTCCTTGGCCGGTTGGATTTGACGGGATGCGCCGCAGTGTACTACTACCCGGCGCCGGGTGCTACCGTGGTCGGGTTGGCCGCAGGGCATTTCGATTGTCGGGCGCAATCCGGGTATCTGGTTCGTGGCGAGTGTGTCGATACAGCAACGGGCGGCCCTGCGACAAGCTCAAGGTGAGCAGGGAAATAGGTTCGGGTGGTCAATCGAAAGACCTGGAGTTGGACGAGACCGCCAGCGGGTTCAGGGGCGGAGCCGGGTACGGGTTGGCCGTATGCTAAAATCGACGGGATGGCAACTGATCGAACACCAAGCGCCGCGTCGCTGGAATCGCGCCTGACCAGGCAACGCAACCGGGCAATCAATTTGCTCGGCTCGGCCCACACTGCGATGCAAAAAGGCCAATGGAGCCACTCGGAAGATTTGCTGTGGGGTAGTTTGGTATCGGCGAGTCGCGGCGTCGCGTTGTGGCGCGGGGAGTCCGTGGACGACGATGCAGAACTGCGGAAATTCTTGCAGCGCCTGGGCGAAGAAGAAAAAGACCGTTACATACGTGATGCGTTCGATCACCTGTCGGCCTTTGCCGAGGCAGCAGAACGGGTTCGCGACCGGCGCAGCCGGGTTGATTACCTGTTTCTGGCGATGGATGACCTGGCCGAGGCAATCGAGAGGCTGGTGGCGCGCATACCCGGTGGGGATGGGCAAGTTCCCGATGCCGACCCTGACGACGCCTTGGTCGATTTGGGCGAGTGATGGCTGTGCCGAACGAACCGCTGACCTTGATTGCCGACCCACGTCGAGCGCCAACACCGCCGGTTACGGGCGTTCCGGCAGTGGGCACGGTTGCCATCGAGACCCACGGTTGCAAGCTGAATCAGGCCGATAGCGCGGTGTTGGCCGGGGAGTTTGCGCGGGCTGGCTACCGGATCGTGGGCTCGAACGCCGACGCCGACATCATCGTCGTGAATACCTGCACGGTTACCGCCACTGCGGACTCCAAAGCCCGCCAGGCGCTGCGGGCCGCGCGGCGCTCCAACCCGACGGCTGTGGTGGTAGCCGCGGGATGCTACCCCCAACGGGCGGCTGACGAGTTGCGTCGCATGCCGGAAGTTTCGCTTGTGGTGGGCAATCAGGACAAACCGCAACTGACCACGTTGGCGCTGGCGGCGCTGGCGTCGCGACGAGGTGGCTTGCAACGCGCTGCGATTGAAACGCCTGGCGAAACGGTTACTGGAATGGGGCGACGCAGCCGGGCGATGGTCAAGATTCAGGAGGGTTGCGACCAGGTTTGCGCCTATTGCATCGTGCCCAAAGTGAGGGGCCGGGAGCGCAGTATCTCGCCGGACGTGCTGGTGGATACCGTTCGTCAGCATGTTGCCGACGGATTCAAAGAGGTGGTGCTAACAGGCACGCAGTTGGGAACCTATGGGTTCGAGTTTCCTGATGTCGGCCTCGCGGGGTTGCTGGATCGCATCCTGGCCGAGACCGATGTACCGCGGCTGAGGGTGTCGTCCTTGCAGGCGCATGAGATTAGCGCCGACCTGCTCACGCGGTGGAGCGATTCCCGACTCTGCCCGCATTTTCACGTGCCGTTGCAAAGCGGGAGCGACGTCGTACTGCGGGCGATGCGCCGCCGCTACGACACTGCCACGTTCCGGCAGGCTGTGGAGCTGATTCGACGCACTATCCCTGATGCCGGCGTTACCGCCGATATCATCGTCGGTTTCCCGGGCGAAACCGAGGCCGACCATGCGGAGAGTCAGGAGTTCGCGGCGGAGATGTGGTTTGCCGATATCCACGTGTTTCCATACTCGCAACGCCCGGGAACCAGCGCGCACCACTTCCAGGGTCAGGTCGAAGCGGCTGACAAACGACGACGCGCGGCGGCGATGGCAGAGGTCAAAGACGCCGGTTTCACCGCGTTCCGGCGTGGGTTGACCGGGCAGTTGCGAGACGTGTTGTGGGAAACCGCGCGACCGGTCGGAGATGAAGGGCTGCGCTGGCGGGGATTGACCGATAATTACGTGCGGGTCGAGACCACCTCGCACGCAGAATTGGGAAACCGCATCACGCCGGCGCGATTGACCGGCATGGTAGATGGTGTGATGACCGCTGAACTGCTGTAGAGGCGCGATGTGCGCCTTTGACTGCCAGGCGGCGGCGGTCTAGAACTCCACCGGTCTCAAATAGCTCATATCCTGGCGGCGTTCCAGGTAGCCGGCTCTGGTCTCGTGGCCGTGGGGGAATACCAGCAGCCAACCCTGCTGCTCCGCCTGGTTCAGGATGTCCTGTTTTTGGTTGAGCGTTGATTCCGGTTCGTAGTCGTAGGACGAAATGACGGTGAGACCCAGATGATGCGTGTCGGCACAAGGTCGCCGGTGTAGACGATCCGTTCGCCGCCGTGGCTGAACACAACCATCTGATGTCCGGGGCAGTGGCCGTCGGTAACCAGCAGATTTAATCCGGTGAACAATTCGGTGTCGCCATCCAGCAATTCCAGCCGGCCCCGCTCGGCGATGGGGGCAAAGTCTTCTGCTCGGTAAACATCGGAGTGTCGGGCGGAGGGATTTTGCGCGTCTTCCCAACTGGCACGCTGGACGTAATAGGTGGCGTTGGGGAAGGAGGGTACCATGTCGCCGGCGCGATCCATGCGCGTTGCGCCACCGGCGTGGCTGAAATGCAGGTGGGAGAGGACGACGGCATCGATGTCACGAGGGCCAAGTCCAGTGCCTTTGAGGCTGCGCATGAGGCGGCTGGGGACGAGGCCGTACATTTCCTTATCGCGGACGTTGTCCTTGGGGCCGACGCCGGTGTCAATCAGGACGTTTTTACCACTGCATTGTAACAACAGGCAGTTGAGGCCCATGGTGATGCGATTTTTACGATCGGTGGAAACGATGTTTTCCCACATCATCTTGGGAACCCGTCCGAAAATTGCTCCTCCGTCGACTTTGAACACGCCGTCACTCAAAACGATGGCACCAGTAGCTAGCATCGTAGGTCACTCCTTGATAATTCGTTGGAATCCGGTGTTTGGCCGCTAGCGACCGCAACCGCTCAATTTGTATGATTTATGCACCGATTGGTTGAGTGGCGGCGTTTCCCTATCGGGCGCAGCGGTACTCGGAAATGGCGCTTGTATGAAATTAAAGGTGACCGCCATCCAATTTACCCCAAGGGCATCCTTTGGCGTCAATATAAAAAATGTCCGATTTTATCGTTTTTTGGGATATTGGGAAATTAATCCATTGGGACGAACTGCGGCCCGTTAGAGGCGCGATAATTAGGGGTACGACGACGCTGCCCATGCGAGTTTCCCCGGTGCAGGCGTCGCCGGCCAGCCCGGAACGCAAAAACCGATCAGTCCCTGTTGGCCCGGGGCTCTGATAAGGACCCAACCGGAGGGCGCGACCACCAAACCGCTGTTCCGCCGCGTTGGAGGATGTACTCGGCGTTGGAGCCGCCGGGCAGCACGCGAAACCAGGACCGGGATGGCAGCTCGCCCCGGATTGCATATCTCGTCGAACCGCTGTTGGTGGGAGTCATCCTGATCAATTCAGCGTCGCTGATCCTGTGGACGATGCCCAGCCTGAAGGCCGATTGCGTCTTCTGGTTCCACGTTATCGAATTTTGCACGATTGCAGTGTTCCTGGCGGAGTATGTCCTGAGATTCTGGACGGCATCGGAGGCGAATCCCGAAGTGGCTGATTGGGGTCAGCGTTGGCGGTATGTAGGTTCGCCCAGCGCGTTGATCGACGCACCCGCGCTGATCCCGTCGGTAACGGCGGTGGTTGCCTCGCTGGTGACGGGTGACGGCCTGAGTCTGTCGTTCCTGCTGGCGGTGCGGCTGATTCCCCGCTCTGCGAAGCTGGCGCGGTATTTTCCGGGTGGCCGTCGATAGGGCATGGCCATGCGGTTGAAGGGAAGCCAGCTACTGACCACGGTGGCGGGCTTGATCTTCGTGCTGGTGATCGCCGCCTCGCTGATGTTCTTTGCCGAGTCAAACGCGCAGCCGGACAAGTTCAGCAGCATTCCGGCAGCGATGCGGTGGAGCGTCGTAACGCTGACGACAGTGGGCGCTACGGCGACACGGTGCCGATGACGACAATGGGACGGCTGCTGGCCGCGGTTATCGCGGGATCGGGCATCGGATTGTTCGCCCTGCCGGCAGGGACACTGAACGCCGGTCTGCTTGAGGCGGATGCGAATGATGAAGTGGCCGGCAGCGCCGCCCGGCAACGGAATACCTGAAGTTTCTGTCCCTACTGCGGGCAGCGATTGACAGATCGCGACGCAGACCACCGGCCCGGACCAGGGTAACCACCGAACTATCAGGCGCCGGACAGTTTCTCGTCAGCGACCGCTAGTCGGTGGAGCACGCGCTCCCGACCCAGTACTGCCAACATATCGAACAGCGGGGGGGTGGCGTTGCGCCCCGACATGGCGACCCGCAAGGTGCCCAGGAACTGACGCCCGTTGAGGCCCAGGTGGTTGCCGGTGGCGCGCAGCAGCTCTTCCAGGTGTTCGGCGGTAAAACCGGAGGCGTCGACGTCGGCCAAATCGCTGGCAGCGCGGCGGACGGCGGCCAACGTGCCGGCAGAATCCATGTTGCGCTGAATCAGCATGGCAGTGTCGTATACCGAAGTTTCCTCAAAAAAGTAGGACAGCATATTCGGGGCATCGGAAAGGGTTTTGAGCCGCTCCTGGATCAGTGGAACGAGGCGGAGCAGGTAGCCCTGGTCGATGGGAAGCAGGTGGTCGGGGAGATCACGCTGGAGGAACGGCAGCACGCGGTCGGCCAAGTCGCCGGCATCCAGCTGGCGAATGTACACGCCGTTCATCCACTGGAGCTTGTCCAGGTCAAAAATGGCAGCCGGTTTGCCCACTCTTTCCAGGGTGAAATGCTCGCGAATAGTGTCCACCGGCATCACGTCGGTTTCGCCGTCCAAAGACCAACCGAGGAGCGCCATGAAGTTGATCAGCGCTTCCGGCGTGTAGCCTTCATCGCGGTACTCCATCACCGAGGTGGCTCCGTGGCGCTTGGAAAGTTTGGCCCGGTCGGAGCCGAGGATCATGGGGAGGTGGCCGAAACGGGGCATCGGCAATTTCAAAGCGCGGTAGAGTTGCACGTGCCGGGGAGTGCTGGGCAACCATTCCTCTGCGCGCAGCACGTGGCTGATTTGCATGGCGTGGTCATCCACGACCACCGCCATGTGGTAGGTGGGGAATCCGTCGGATTTTACCAGCACAAAGTCGTCGGTCAGCTCGTTCTGCCATTCCACGTGGCCACGTATGGCGTCGTCCACCGACGGAGCTGCCCGACTGCGGCGATGGCGACAAGCAGCAGCGAGTGGACATACCGGAGGACAGCGCCTTGGCGGCGCGCTCAGAGTCAGACAAATATCGGCAGTGGCTGTCGTAGCATGACGCCACCTTGTATGTCGTCGCATTGTCTGTTTTCGGGCCGTCCTGCGCAGGTCGGCGACACGCGTCGGGAGAGCCGAGTAGCCACGGTGTAGGCTGCGCGGTAGCAAGCGCGTCCTGCGGCCGGCGCGGCGGCGCCCCGCGGTTAAACGACGATCCAAGCCGTTGGACTGGAAGAAGGCCCAAAATCCCGCCGACACGTGGGCCTTCATCCCAGTCTATTCCCAGCCAATCCAGCCGTACCCCGTTGAGGAGTGTGATCCATCCGCGCCTGTCGGTGATGGCGGCGGTCTCTGAGTCGGTAGGTCCTTCCACCGAACGATGAGAGCAGCACGTTTCGCGGACGAAGCGGCGCGAAGAACAGCCAGTTGAACAGTGGGATCTTACGCCGAGATGCGGGCGCGTGTTGGGCGCTGGGGAGCATAGCGAGCGGACGGAATCGGGCACGTTAGATCCTCCTCAACGTGGTAGTAGTGCACAGATGTCGGCGAGGCAACATGGTCGTGCGCCGGACCGCGGTGACGCGTGCTGACGATTGTACTGCGGCCCAGCTGGCGCGCAGGTGACGCGTCGGTTTCGATACCGGCGCGCCCGGGGTTGGAGTCCAGTCAACGATGTCGGCGCAGAAGTACCCCAAACGCTCGAACTGGTAGCGGTCGCCGGGGTTGGCGCCGGCCAGCGCAGGTTCGGCCAGCGCGGTTATGACTTCCAGAGAATCCGGACTGATCAGGTCAGTAAAATCGCGGTCCGATTCCGAGGCAGCGGTGGCCGGAGCGGGGTCGGTGAAAAGGTTGTCGTACAGGCGCACTTCCAGCGGCGCGGCGTGGGCCGAAGAACCCCAATGGATTGTGCCTTGGACCCGACGACCGTCTGAGTTGCCGCCGCGACTGTCCGGGTCGTAGGTACAGTGCACCTCCACGACAGTACCGTCGGCATCCTTGACCACGTCGGTACAGGTCACCAGCCAGGCGTAACGGAGCCTTACCTCCCGGCCGGGTGCCAGACGGTAGAAACGGCGCGGCGGGTCCTCCATGAAATCGTCCCGCTCAATGTACAGTTCGCGACTGAACGGCACGGTGCGGGTACCCATGTCGGCGTCTTCAGGGTTGTTGATTGCCACGAAACATTCGCTCTGGCCTTCAGGGTAGTTGGTGATTACCACTTTTAGCGGGTTCAGCACGGCCATGCGCCGGGGCGCGCGGCGGTTCAAATCTTCCCGCAGGCAATGCTCCAGCAACGCCAGCTCGGTTACGGTGTTGCGTCGGGCCACCCCGACCCGTTCGCACATGTCGCGGATTGATTCGGGGGTGAAACCACGGCGACGCAGGGCGCTGATGGTGGGCATCCGGGGGTCGTCCCACCCCGAGACGTGGGATTCTTCGACCAATCGGCGCAGCATACGCTTGCTCATGACGGTGTGGGTCAGATTGAGCCGGGCGAATTCGATCTGTCGGCTGCGGTAAACACCCAACACTTCCTGGCACCAGTCGTACAGGGGGCGGTGGTCTTCAAACTCCAGTGTGCACAGGGAATGGGTGATGCCCTCGATGGAATCGGACAGCGAATGGGCGTAGTCGTACATTGGTTAAATGCACCACGCGTTGCCGGTGCGGTGATGCTCGGCGTGGCGAATGCGGTAGAGCACCGGGTCGCGCATGTTCAGGTTGGGCGAGTCCATGTCGATGCGGGCGCGCAGGACGTGGGCGCCGTCGTTGGGGAACTCGCCGGCCCGCATTCTACGGAACAGGTCCAGATTCTCTTCGACGCTGCGATCGCGGTGGGGGCTTTCACACCCGGGCTCGGTGAGGGTGCCGCGAAATTCCCGGATTTCTTCCGCGGTCAGGCTGTCGACATAGGCGTTCCCATCCAATATCAGCTGCTCGGCGAACTCATACAACTGCTCGAAGTAGTCGGAAGCGTAATACAGATGGTGTCCCCAGTCGAAACCAAGCCAGTGGACATCTGCCAGGATGGACTCGACGTACTCGATGTCCTCGCGGGTTGGGTTGGTATCGTCGAAACGCATATGGTGCAGCGGGCGCCTTCGAACTGCTCGCCAACGCCGAAGTTGAGACAGATCGACTTGGCGTGGCCGATGTGCAAGTACGTTCGGCTCGGGTGGGAAGCGCGTGATGACCCTGCGCCGGCCGTCGTAGGTGCCCTGGGCAAGGTCTTCCGTGATGATGCTGCGGATGAAATCGGCCGGGGCATCACCGGCGCCCCCGTTGGGATTGGTGGTCATGGTGTAATTACCTGATCTGGTGGATTCGTAACGGCAGTGCGGTTTGCGGGCTAAATTATACCGTGCCCCGTACTATTTGGTGCTGCTCAGGCAGACCGTGCTGGAATATTTCGCAATCTGTCCCAGGCTTGCGCCAAAGGCCTCCAATGCACAGGCGCGTTGAAGAACGCCATCCATATTGTCCCGTGGCGGCATGATGCAAGGCAAGGCGCGCCGCGTGAAGGAACTGGCGATCCAGCAGTTCGCTAGCGCGCCCATAGACCGCATCGCCCAGGATGGGGAAACGCCGATGGGCGAGATGCACGCGGATTTGGTGGGTGCGCCCAGTTTCCAACGACAAGGACAGCAAGGTGTGACCCGCCGCCGTTGCCTCCGTTTGATAGTGCGTGTCGAGCGCTGCGCCATCCTCACGACGGCCTGCGCTGGTCGATGGTACGATGGCGTCCGAGTGGGCTGTCTCTTTGTCTGCCTCACTGGTGTCGCTTCCGGCGTACGAATGCTACTACTCCTTGCGACCTTTCCGCCAGCCTGGTAGAGCTTTGACACCGTCCGGTTTTTCATCTGTTCGGTGAGGTGTTGATGGGCCAGCTGATTCTTGGCGATTACCAGCAGCCCGGAGGTGTCAAGGTCCAGGCGATGGACGATGCCTGGGCGGATTTCGCCGCCCACGCCGCGGATGTCGGGGCAGCGGGCGAGCAGGGCATTTACCAGCGTGCCATCTGGATGGCCGGGGCCGGGATGGACCGCCAATCCGGGGGGCTTGTCGACTACGGCGATGTCGGAGTCTTCGTAGACGATGGTGATGGGGATCCTATGGGGTTTCCAGGTGGCTACAGCCTGCAGCCAGAGCGGAACGGTGACCACACGACATACACATCGCTCGCCGCTCGCACATCTCGCCTGCAGCACGTAGGCGGCCGGGTTCGCCATTGATGGTTACGTTTCCGGCGAGGGTGAGGGCGTGCAGGCGGCTTCGTGAGAGGCCGGTATCAGCCAACTCGCTGCGGTCGGCCAGCCAGGCATCGAGGCGCGGCGGCGATGGATTGGCGACCACCAGTTCGTGCCGCCCGATGTCGGTGGCGATATTCAAAGTGGTAGCTCTCTGACCGACAGGATGCGTTCGCGAACTCCGCAGTCGGCGCACCGCGCGCCATTGGGCAGGTGAATCATCGGGCCGTCGCACACCGGACAGGCCGCCAGGGCAGCGCGGAATTCGGGGTACGTCTCTGCCAGGCAGGAACGCGACGCGAATCGTCGTGTTGTGCGCGCGAGCAACAGCCATCCCATCAAGATCAGGCCCGTAACGATCGACGAATCGGCGAGGTTGAACACGGGCCAGGGGCCGATGTCGATAAAGTCGGTAACGTGGCCCAGGAGCAGGCGGTCAAGCAGGTTCCCGGCGGCTCCGCCCAGCATCAGGGCGATGCTAGCGCGCATGATGCGGCCGGGTTGCTCCTGGCTGCCGTAGATGAATCCGAGCACCACGATACCGATGACGGACACGACCAGGAGCACCAGATTTTGGTCCTGAAAGAGTCCGAAGGCGCTGCCGGTGTTGTGGACGTGGGTGAACCGAAAAACACCCGAGTAGGGCCACGAATGACGCCAGTCCAGGGTCTGCCGGACGATGAACTTGGTCAGCTGGTCGGTCGCCAGCACCAGAGCCGCCAGCTGCAGGAGATTCCAGTCGCGGTAGATGGGCCGGCGTCGATGGGTGGGTTCGGACATCGGGGCCGGGTTAGAGCAGGTGGTCGCGGAAGAACTGCACCACACAGGCGGCCATTTCGCCCTCCTGTCCCACCCAGAAGTGGTCTGCGCCGGGAATGAGATGGTAGTCGGCGGGCGGGTTGAATCTGGCCAGCTGCTCATCGGCGCCGTCGGAGTTCGCCAGGCGGTCGCGGTCGCCGGTGATGATCATGCGCGGGGTCTTGTCGGACTGCAGCGGGCTGTCTGTGATGGCCTCTAGGGATGGGGCAACCAGGGCGATGGCCCGGGGTTTTTTGTACAACTGCTTGTGGGCGCAGATGACGCGGGTGCTGAAAGAATAACCGCCCAGTCCGATGCGTTCGTCGTTCACGTCGGGCAGGGCGCCGAGGAAGTCCATGGCAACCAGGGTTTCCTCGTATTCCTTCTCACCTTTGGAATGCTCGCCCTGGCTGTTGCCAACTCCGCGAAAGTTGAAACGCAGGGAGGCAATGCCAGCGTCAGCGAGACCAAACGTAACGGCGACCACCACATTGTTGTCCATGTTGCCGCCGTTCAGCGGGTGGGGATGGCACATAACTACGCCGGGGAACGGGCCTTCGCCATCCGGAAGGGCTATGATGCCCTCCAGGGTCATGCCTTTGGCAATGAAACTGACCGCACTTTGTCGCATATTTTATCCCTCCGATTAGGTCCGCCGAGCGGGTGCGCCGAGTGTGTGTCCTGCTACCGAACGTGCCGGGATAATGATAGCAGGTTTGACGGGACGCCGGATTAGCGGGGTTGGTGTGCAGGTCGCGCTATTCAGGATGCGCCACAGCCGGCGCGCGGCGGTAAG